CTAAAGCCAAGACAATAATAAAGGACTATTATTATCTGCAAGATGACGAGATCGTGGGTGCTTTTGTTTGTTCTTATGTTCATTGTGTTGACTTCTCAATTCGAGTGGAAGGAGCAACTTGAGAGTGAANNTGATGAGACTANTAGTCCTCTGNTTCTTTCAGATGAAGAGCAACATATACCACAAGGCAAAGATTCTCTGCAAGAAAAGGTGTTGTTTTCTTACTCTTTGATGGGATTTAAGTATGTTGATCTTAAGGGAAGGAGATGGGTTCCTAAACTGATACTAAACTTGTCCTTCCTAAACTGATACTAAACTTGTCCAATGCTTTCGCTGTGAGGCTTTGAAACATTCTGTTTCAGTGTATCGCTTAAGTTTCTTTATCATCACGGACTTCTTTCTCCTGTAGCATTGTTGGTATAGACTCGGGAAAGCGATAAAGGATAGCTACCGGCACATCCTTTTGAATAGATGCCAATCGTGAGTCCTCCAAGTGATGCTTTCGTAGGAAAGAACATTAGACCATCATTATTGATGATCTTTTGTGAGTATCATTAAATATAAAATTATTAAAACACACATTCTCTCTTCCTTTTACTCAACTTTATACGTTCTTTTTCATCTTTTTATTCAACTTTTATTAATTTATATTTAAACACATCCCAACTAAATTTTAAACTCTCTCCAAAAGTATCAACCCATTGATACAAAGACACTCTCTCTTCAAAAGTATCAACTCGTCTCCTCTTTTTACTCAAATTTTATTAATTTTATATTTCAATATACTCTATTATTTCAACCAAAAACACTCTTTCTTCCTTTTACTCAAATTTTAATAATTTTATATTTAATGATACCCACCAAAAATCATCAATAATGATGCTCTAATGATCATATGACTATCTATCTGTGGCAGAAAATTCTCTCTCAAGAAAATAATATTCAGAAGCTTAATGAGCTGGTCCAAGATCTAAGGAGGCAGTTGTTGCAATGCAGAAATGAAAATCAGGTTGAGTTGACGGAGCCAGTGACCGAGCTTTAGGGCATCCGTATTGGTGAATTTTGGTGGGTATCATTAAATATAAAATTATTAAAAATTTGAGTAAAAGGAAAAAGAGAGTGTTTTTGGTTGAAATAATGGGGTGTATTGAAATATAAAATTAATAAAATTTGAGTAAAAAGAAGAGATGAGTTGATACTTTTGGAGAGAGTGTTTTTGTATCAATGGGTTGATACTTTTGGAGAGAGTTTAAATTTTAGTTGGGGTGTGTTTAAATATAAAATTAATAAAAGTTGAATAAAATAATGAAAGAGAAGGTATAAAGTTAAGTAAAAGGAAGAGAGAGTGTGTTTTTAATAATTTTATATTTAATGATACCTTCAAAAGTTCATGGATACGGATGGCCTTATCAGCTGCTGTTGAGAGGCGATTAGTCCGTTTTTATACAGGTACATTGTTTCCCCAGTAGCACATGTTTCACATGAGGTCGATGTCTTTCCTATTAAAACGTCTCTGTTGATGAAATCATGGAATTGCCTATTAATTTAGGCTTTAGATATGGATGGCCAACTAATTTGATGCACTAGGGGAGGTATTGGTTTTAATGGATATGATTAAGACAGAATTTGGCGCATGTTATTTGATAATTATAATTATTATAAATAATTGTGTGGGCTTAGTTTAAAAATTAAACAAACGAAAGCCCAATAAAATTAAGTTCAAACCTAATCGCAAGTTTCATCTTTCCGCCGTCTGGAAAAATGGCGTCGTCGTCTCAACTTCAACCAGAGAAGAATAAGGTGCGGGTCATCTGGACAAAGACAATGAAGAGCACTATGATGTCAACGAGTTTCGGAATCTCATCAACAACGAAATTTCTCCATCCTTCCTTTCTACCCAAGGGATTAAATTTGTACCTTGTCCAGAAAGAAAGTCGATATGCTGGAACTGTGAAACAGACCAAGACCAGATTATAACGGGTCCCGAGTTTTTTACGACTCTACAGGAGCAGCTCATGGACAAGACTGTGGTTGGTATAACCCTCCTGATTTCAGGATAGCACTAGATTATCTTAGAGTGCAGGGCTAGGTTGC